AATCCTAAATGCCTTAAGTATCTTCTCAATCATCCGAATTTCTGTGGCATAAAAGACTAGGACACATTAGTTTGGCTAAGTTGTCTACTCTATCTAAAAACAATCTGGCTAGAGGGTTACCTAAGCTAAAAGACAAAGCAGAATTTTTCTGCAATGCATGTGCTGCCGGAAAACACAAAAGAAAGAGCTTTAAACCAAAACCTGACATCACTACCACTGAAACTTTTGAATTAATCCACACGGACCTATTTGGTCCTTATAATGTCACTAGCCTAGGGGGTAAAAATTATGTATTTGTCCTGGTTGATGACTACTCTAGGTACACCTGGGTATTCTTCTTAACTCACAAGGATGAGACTTTTGAGAAATTTCGTTCATTTGTCACTCAAAATAAACAATCCTTGAAAACCATAAGAAGTGACAATGGGGGAGAATTTATTTCTGATGAATTTGCTGAGTTTTGTGATGAAATCGGAATTGTCCATACCTTTTCTGCTCCTCGCTCACCTCAACAGAATGGGGTTGTTGAGCGTAAAAATAGAACTCTGATAGAATGTGATAGAACAATGCTATTAGATTACCAACTACCTAAATTCTTTTGGGCTGAATCAGTTAATACTGCTTGTTATGTTATAAATCGAGTTCTAATCAGAAAACAATTAAAAAAAACTCCCTATGAAATTCTAAAAGGTAAAACTCCTAAAATATCTTACTTCCATCCCTTTGGATGTCCTTGTTACACCCTAAATACAAGAGATACTCTAGGCAAATTTGATGCTAAATATGATCCTGCAACCTTTCTTGGCTATTCAACTAAAGGACAAGCATATAGAGTCTATAATAAACGAACTAGAAAAGTAGAGGAATCAGTTCATGTCAAATTCAATGAAACTGTTTCAATTGATTCAGATAATTCAATGACTATTGATTTAAGTGAACTCACCTCCTCTTATCAAGATTCATGTAGTGAACAGGCTAATGCAGAAAAGTCTCGAGTAATTGAATCTCAAGTTAAGATCCCTGAAAACACTGAAACTACTGCTGATGTGCCAAAAGCCCCCCCCCCCCCTCACACCCAGAAGAGACATCCCGAGAGCCAAGTCATTGGTAAGATAAGTGATGGTCTTCAAACTAGAGGTAAAGACACTCCTGGCCAGTATGCTTTCGTATCTCAATTTGAACCAAAAAACTGGAAAGAAGCTATACAAGATGAAGAATGGGGTCTATCTATGGTAGAGGAATTAAACCAATTTGAGCATTTGCACGTTTGGGACTTGGTTCCCAGACCTGAAAATGTTACAGTCATTGGTACTAAATGGATTTATCGTAATAAATATAATGAGGAAAATATAGTAGTTAGAAACAAATCGAGATTAGTTGCTCAGGGCTACCTTCAAGAAGAAGGTGTGGACTTTGATGAAACCTTTGCTCCTGTAGCAAGGCTTGAATCTATTAGACTTTTGTGTGCTTTTGCCAGTTTTATGGGATTTCCTTTATATCAAATGGACGTAAAAAGCGCCTTCCTAAATGGTTTGATACATGAGGAAGTCTATGTAGCTCAGCCTCCAGGATTCATAGATTTTGAACATCCAGACCATGTTTATAAATTAAATAAAGCTCTGTATGGTCTCAAACAGGCTCCTAGAGCCTGGTTTGAACGTCTTTCTTCATTTCTAATTGAAAAATCATTTACTCAAGGTAGTATAGATAAGACTTTGTTCATCAAACATGTGTCAAGTCACATTCTTATTGTTCAAGTCTATGTTGATGACATAGTGTTTGGCTTTAGTGATCCTAAACTGTGCACTGAGTTCTGTGAAACCATGCAGTCTGTCTTTGAAATGAGCATGATGGGAGAATTAAAATTTTTTCTTGGCTTACAAGTCAAGCAAAGCTCATCTGACATCTTTATTAACCAATCTAAATACCTCCAGAAAATGCTTTTAAAATTCAACATGAACTCAATTAACTCCAGCCAAACTCCCATGACCACCGATCTTAAACTTGACAAGGATCCCTCTGGAACATCAGTTGATGAAAAGAAATATCGAGGCATGATAGGATCCTTGCTATATTTAACTGCTAGTAGACCAGACATCCAACACAGTGTGTGCCTCTGTGCTAGCTTTCAATCAGCACCCAAAGAAAGCCATCTTAGTGCTGTAAAACGCATCTTTAGGTGTCTAAAAGGAACCCCTGAGGTAGGATTGTGGTATCCTCATCATGATAGTTTCAATTTACTAGGTTATAGTGATTCTGATTTTGCTAGAAGCCTGTCTGATAGAAAAAGTACCACAGGGACTTGCCAATTTGTAGGTACATCTCTAGTTTCTTGGTCTTGTAAGAAGCAGGGAGCAGTGGCCCTCTCCACTGCAGAAGCAGAGTACATTGCAGCTGGAAGCTGCTGTACTCAGCTTATTTGGCTTAAAAACCAACTGCTTGACTACAAGATCAATACCTCGACCATTCCCTTATTCTGTGACAACACTAGTGCTATATGTATGTCCAAAAACCCTGTCCAGCACTCCAGAACCAAACACATAGAAGTCAAGTTCCACTTTATTAGGGAATTGGTCGAGCAACAATTAATTCAATTAAATCATATTCCAACTGAGTTCCAACTGGCAGATCTATTTACTAAACCATTAAATGCAGAACGATTCACTTTCCTATGCTATGAACTAGGGCTTCGATCTCCAGAGAATCTGGAGAATCTATTCTGATTGCTTACTCTTTTCTTTACTTTTCTTGTTTCTTTGCTTTCCCTTTGTGTCTCTTCCTTTTTAGTATGTTTTCCTTTCCTTGCTATTTGGTAAGCTATTTATAGGTCTGTGTGGTAGTCTGCAGTCATTCATCGATCGTTTTAGAGTCTTAGCTGTCTAGTCTAGAATTCTCAATGGTGCTCGAATTCTCCATCACCTACACAGGTACTCTGTTTCATGATCCTATCCCTGCCAATGCTCATAGGCATGCAGTTTCTTATGCCCGTCGCCCTATTATTCCCACCTATCAAATCCCTTTTGCTGGTCTAGATGAGTATGGTCTCAACTTTACTCAACTCATTCATAATTTAGGATGGGATTTTTTGATTGATGAAACTCTGGAGCATATTTGCCCTGAAGCTGTTCGCCTTTTTTACTCAAACTTTCGTTCTTTTGGCTTAGATACTCGTACCTTTACAACCTTGATTTATGGCCATCTGGTTACTATTCCTATTGAGGATCTTAGGCGTCTGCTTGCTATTCTCCAGGTTGGTGAAATTCTAGCTCATGAGTCTGAGCTTGTGCTGTTTAACTTCAATATCGAGCATGAGTTTGTGCATCTGACTGGCCATACTCCTGATTCTCTGCTCACTCTTCCCACCACCTTCCTGCTCCCTGCCATTCGCACCTTTCATTTTTTCCTCACCCATCGCTTCCTTCCTAGGACCGTTCTTCTAGATCGAGTCACTCCCCTAGATCTCTGGGTCATTCAACATGCTGTGAACAATGTCCCTCTTGATTACTCTCATATGCTTTTTGGCCATCTGTACATGTTCCAGTACTTCGAATACCTTGGTCATCTTCCTATTGGCCCTCTGCTTACTCGTCTTATCACTCGTCTAGAAATCTCACTTGACCCCTTCCGCTCCACCACTCCCACCGTGTTCATCACTGCTGATGATGTCCTAGACGAGATTGCCATTGCCGTTGAGGGGGAGGATGACTCTAACTCTGACTCAGATGACTCTGACTCTGACTCAGAAGAACCACTGAGGCACCTGCAGAGGAAGAAGAACCAAATTAGGATATAGAAGTTCACTGGATTAGCAGCAGCAGCAGTGACAGCAGCAGCAGTGACAGCGATGATTCTGATTCAGAATTGCCTTCATTAAGTGATGTGTTGGCTGACCTTCAGGAGACCTATGGATCCGATTAGTTTTGTGCTTTTCTTGACCTTTGGTTTGCTGGATGTGTCTTTTCCCAGCTGGTTGGTTGACATTCCTAGTTTACCTTGCTGAACTCTTGCTGAATGTTTAAACTGTTTAGTTTTGGATTGCTGAATACTTGGTAAAACACTTGCTGGGGTTCTGAACTATCTTGTTTTGGATAGCTCTTTGCTTGGTGATTTTTCTTTCAATCTTTGCCGAGAATGCTTGAACTGTTTAGACTGTATAGTTTTTGCTTGCATGGAAAGGTGGGATCAGTTTTGCAGGTTTCAAGCGGACAATTGGCAATCTCCAACTTAGGGGGAGATTGTTGAAGTGGTAAGAATCAAGTTGGAAGATTGCCAGATCACCAATCAAGGGGGAGCGGATCAATCAACCATGATTCAAGGGCCAGCTGCTCAACTTACCTTCTCTGCACAATTTCAAACAGCAACGGCTCCTACAACGACTACTTAAAGGAGCAGCAGGGGAAGGTCTCGGCACTGAAGCAAACAGGGATTCCTTTGTGGCAAAGGGCTAGGGATTGGGTTTGGGATCAGTGGCTTTGAATCAAGCTGAGGAATAGGTTCAACTTGATCAAAGGGTGTGAAGAATTCCTGCGCGAATTCTGGTCTGAGTCTTGTGGCATTTTGATTTTCTCACCAGAGTCTGTATGGTCTTTTGTTTGTTCGTTGCTTGAGTCATAAAACGAAAATCAAAGTGTCTCTCAGGATAGTGGTACTATCCTGGGACGAGGAGTAGCCCTGTGGCGAACCTCGTTAAAAATTCTCTGTGCACTTTACTTTCTGCTCTGTTTCATTCCTCCTCTCCTTGACTCTCTGTTCTGCAATCCTCTGCTCGTCTCTGGCTTGGTGAAGAAGACGATCTATTCTGTCCCTTCTTCTCCGAGCTTGGGCCGAGACGGTTTCAAGGTCTGGATCAGTCTTAATGATCTTTGGGCTTGATTCTCTAAAGCCCATTCGACCTGACTCGTGTCCAGTTACTAAAGCGAGTCATGGGTTCTGACCAATTGGTTCAAACCGGTTCAACGGTTTATTGAGTCTTTGAAGTCAAAATCCCTAATTACCGGTTCATTTCCTCTTCATTTCAATCGTTCTCTGATTACAAATCCCTCAGCATCGATGGAAGCTCAACGCAGAAGAAGGAAGAAGCTCTCTGATCGCAGCAACACCCTTGTACCCGTCGGCTCCTCTGCAAGCTGTTCTTCCACTTCGTCTTCCTCTTACCTTCTCAAGAAACCCTTGAAATCGTTTCCCTCCTCTTCGCAGCTTCTCCATTCCCGCGACAATCCGAATCCCACTGAGACCCATCTCGATAAGGTTCCATCCACGGCCGGATCCACTACCAGCGCGGTTCTAGGACCCTCCACTTCCACGCCTGCTCGCCCACAGCGCAATCAATCCTCGACCGTCGGTAATTTTGGGTTTTCTCTTCCGCCTTCGTCGATTTGCTTGTTCTGAAATCGGTTTTGGGAACCTAGGGTTTTGTCGGATTTAATTTTTCCGTGGTTAGTTCCTCATGCCTGAAAGTGTATCAGGTGGCGATGATGTTTGGGAGCCGTCTCCGGTTTATGTTCGGAGGAAGTCCGGAAGCAAAAGGAAGGACAAGGAGAAGGCAATTGATGTGCCGGCTATAAAGAGTCAGTCTAGCAGGTATGTTTCTGATTTAGGGATAACTTCTGTTTTCGGACTGTGATTAGAGAAGTGCAAATACACTGATTAGATTGGTAAAACCAACTGCAAAATTGAAATGGCAGTGGCAAATCTCTATACTCTTGGAAGGTAGACATAATGGAACGGAAAAGATGTGGAGACGAGTTTAGAAAATTTATATCAGGTTTTCTATTCCCTGTTGAACAGTGGGCAGTGTAGTTGGAGCAGTATCTTTGATCTTATGAATTGTTCTGTATCACCTTCCATTAGAATAAGCGCAACAGTTTTATCGCATTTGCTATGTTCTGAAGCATGAGCGTTTTTCTTTGTTGCGTTTCCTGGGAACTACTGAAGCTTTTGTTGTTTATTGTAAGCTCTGCAAACTAGATATCATTTCAATTGGTATTTGATGTGAATGTTATTCTGCTCTTAGTGGATACTTTGTTTTTTGAATTCCTTTTTCGCTGCTGCTGATTCTTGGTCTCATTGATTGAATGCAGGGACAAAGCAATTGAAGATGGAGGTGCTGGTCAGTCCAAATCATTGCTGGTACCTCATAAAAAGGTAGGATACTCTGGTTCTTGTATTTTGGAAACTAGATTTATTCTTTTGGCTTTGTGATCGGCCTTTTATTCAAACGTGTGGAGGACTGATGGAGTTGGCTGGCTTTAAAATGTTTTGGGAACAGCTTCTGCATCATCCATTCTGTTACCTATGCTTGTGTACTGTCGTGCACTCATCGTTTGAGTTACATTTACCCTCTTAGTGCTTGGTTCGTTCTGTGTTACTTTGAGCTTTAGTGTTCTCTTTCTGCCGAAAGTACCTTCTTATTCTTCTTGATTCTTGCATGTGTTCTCTTCTTCCATCCGGTTTCTAGTTGCTGAAATTGGGGTTTCCTAGGTTTGCTGTTTTTCCCCCTTCTTTTATGCTGTTTTTGCTGAGTTTGTCTGAAACATCTTTTGACTGCTTTGCTTATTATACTTCTCAATGTTGACATACAAATTCTGGCTTGCTAAATGTCGCCCTTGAAATTGCTACAAGTCGCCCTAACTTAAATATAAAATTACCTATATACCCTTAAGGAAAAACTCAAAATTGGCTTAAACAAACAAGTCCTTATTCACAAAATCACTCCTCCTCCTGCAACCTCTCACCCGCCGCCGACTTCATCCTCTGCAACTCGCCGTCGCCGGCGACCTCTGCACTTCTTCCTCTGCAACTCGCCGCCACCGGCGACCTATGCATATCGCCACCGCCCCCGCACTCGCCGCCGCCGCCCGCAATCGCCCGCCGCAGTCGTTCCTCCCTCGCCAGTAGCCGCCAGCAGCCGTAGCCAGTCGCTCGCCGCCGTCGCGAACGCCGCCCATCGCTCCGTCGCCTCGCCGCCGTCGTTCCTCGCGTCGCCTGCCGCCGTCGTTCCTCAAGTCGCCGGAGAAGAAGGTATGACCGCTGCAACTCCGCGGTTTGACCAACGACTGACCGCGGTCAACGCGCGATTGGACCGACGGTCAACTGCGGTCAACGCACAGTTCAGCCAACGGCTGATCGCGCGTTGGCCGCTTTTTTTTTTTTAAATTCTGTTTTTAAATTCTGGTTTTTATTATTCAATAAATGCTAATAATAATAAAAATTAATTAAAAAATATATTTAATAAAAATAATTTATTTATATATTTTGTCAATAATGATATAAAAATTTAAAAAACATATTCGATAAATATTAATTAATGATAACAAATTTAAAGAACATTATAAAAAATTAAAAATATATTTTAATCATTTTAATAATCAAAATTTCAAAGTAATTCGTTTATCTAATTAATTATTAATAATTTTACCTTGATTAATTATTTACTTTTATGTAAATAATGATTACATAGACCGTAACATAAATGTTGAAACTATTAATTTTATAATTTTAATTCTGAAAATCTTAAATTAATTACTTTATGTACTTTATTATTAATAATTCAAACTTTTTTTTGAAGATGTCTGGACATGGAATGGGTAAATCGGATATGATTAAGGTGAGAAATAAGGAGAGAATGGAAGGTCGTGCTTGTAAACTTACGGCGACTGGTAGGAAGGAAAATGAAGAAAAAAATCCACCTAAGGTTAGAAGGAAGAAGAACAAGGCGGATGTAGTGCATCCTGACGACCACCCTATTGTGGGGCAGTTGTCTCTTAGTCGAGGTACTCCCAGTACTCCTACACCAGATAGCGCACCGGTATGGCAGGCTAATTGGAGTGATTCCATTGACGAGGATGATGATGATGACGGTGATGCTGAGGTTGGGAATGCCCCAGATGCTGGTGATGATGCTGGTGATCGTGCTGGTGATGCTGAGGTTGGGGATGCCCCACCTCAAGCTGATTTAGGCGTGGGGAAGATGGCGCGGATCGGGATATCTTCTACTGCCTCCTCCCACTTCCGTGGGCCCGATGGACGCTATGCGTCCAGACCTAGTAACGAGGATGCCGAAGATGGAAATAGGAAGAGGAAGACCACGAGGAAAGATATGTCGTGGTTTCTTACAGCCGAGTCTCCGATGTGTTCAGGTGGACCAGTGATTCCCGATGTGATCCCTAACTTTGGAGGTCACATTGGCTTTGTACTGTGGACTTCCCCTGAGCAGGACCGTGGAGTGTTGGACGGCTTCCATAGGCCGAAAGCTGTAGAGACTTTGAGGCGATATAAGTGGAGTGCAGAGGGTTCCAAGGAGATGGTTGAAGCCACAGGATTGTCTCACTTGACAGGGTGCATGATGCAGCATTTAGACATGTCTCTATTGTCGGCATTTGTGGAGAGGTGGCAGCCGGACACAAACACCTTCCACATGCCGTTTGGAGAGATTTCGATCCTTCTACACGATCTGCATCACATTCTTCGGATACCGGTTGACGGAGAGCTGATGGGAGATGAGGCCTCGCCGGATACTCTTAAGTCAGACATGGGTGGTCTAGTTCGACTTTCGGTGGATGCTCAGGTTGGTGGTAAGTGGAAGTCTAAGTGGTACGATAATGGTGCTATGCATGCAGAGGGATTGTTGGTGCGTGGGGGAGAGCTGAAGATTAAGGAGATGGAGGTGCAGTGTTACCTATTTGTGTTACTGGGATCCACGCTTTTTGTGGATAAGAGTCGTGATCGCCTTCGTCCTGCGATCAACTTGTTTCTGAAGGATCATCGACGATTGACTGATTACGCTTGGGGAGCTGGTGCACTAGCCTATCTCTACAGACAGTTGGGAGTGGCCACACGAGCGGGTAGTAAGAGTCTTTGTGGTTGTTTGACCCTGCTTCAGGCTTGGATATATGAGTACTTTCCTCTATTCCGTCCGAGCCAGCTGCCGCAGTCTCCGGATGCACCTCGTGCTTCCTCGTGGATTTCTCCCCGTTTGCCAGGTGGGGATGAGGCTAGACAGAGGTTAGCACGTTATCGACAGTTGTTGGATGAGCTTTCAGCTGATGATGTGACCTGGACTCCGTACGGACGAGATGGCCACACAGATATACCTCGCTCCTTGTATACTGGCCCCATTCGCTTTTCTGACATTGCTGAGGGATACGATCCTGCACGTTGTCTGCGCCAGTTTGGATACCGACAGATTATCCCATGTGCTATGACGGTACCACATGACCAGTACCGTCCGGCTTCCGGCAGCAGTTACATAGTCTATTGGGATTCGTGGGTGAATCAGTTGTGGGATAACGTGGCAGCCCGTCGTCTAGATTTGAATTTTGCTTCTCGGCCGTGCGAGCACCCATCGGAGACTGTGGAAGAGTACGTTGACTGGTTTCTGACTAGATCGCACCCACGGATCACCCACCCCACTGATGGGGTGCCTCAGCCTCGACCACTACTAGTTCATCAGGTTAGTTATGACTTTCTTTTGCTTTTCCAAATATAAAGGACATTTGTTATTTATTCTAACATTGTTTTCTATTTACAGTTGAGAGAGCAGATTGTGGATCGTTTAGGTCCCGTGTTGCTGACGAGGGACCGGAGTAAGTGGGAGGAGGACGGTGGTAAGTTCTATGATATGGTAGCTGAGGTTCACGAGTTGTACGACCAGTTGGTAGGGCAGCCGCCTCAGTAGACGATTGTGTTTTTTTTTGTCATCGTTTGTAGTTGAACTGAGACTATTGTGTTTTTTTATTTGTCATCGTTTGTAGTTGAACTGAGACTATTGTGCTTTTTATTTGTCATCGTTTGTAGTTGAACTGAGACTATGGTGTGTTTTATTTGTCATCGTTTGTAGTTGAATTGAGACGATTGTGTTTTTTTACTTTAGTTACATTCAATGCATTGCTAAAATAGTTAATCAACATGATAGATTACTAAATGTTTCAACAATAGAGAGTTATATAATTCGTAATAATACTTCCAATCGTCATCCCCGTGGGTTCAAACTATCATAAAGCGCACGCTCATGTAAGAAGAATTGATCCCACCCATTGACACTAGGGTCATGAAAAATAGGCCAAAGGCCATTAATTGGTGGCATGGGCACTTGACCATGTCGAAAGTCAAGTCGCACCCAATAATCCCCCGTAAAATGTAGTGATAAGATCCCACGTGGTCTTGTTACTCCTGGTGGGGCCGTCACAGGTAGCACAGTATAACGACCGCCTTCACTGTGTACAACGATAGCCCATGAATGCAAGGTGGGGAAGACGAAGAGTTCCGCATTATCCATCCAGTTGGGAGGTCCACAAACACTTGTTGATGCCCACCTGCAACGTCGAATGCCATTTTCTATTCCATTTGCTATTCCATCATAGTAGTCTCTATAAAGCCCAGGACGGGATTCAAGCTCCTCTACAACAGCGCGTCTCATTTGTGGCCAATTCCTTTGGTCCCCAGTAAATGTTTGTGATATAGCTCGAAATCCACAGTGTCCATCTGGAATAGGGTTGAACCAACCACGAACTAGTCGTTGCACATAGGATTTCAAACAATGTAGCCATGAGTAATTCTTCCAACTAGTATTGGGAATCCGAGCAACCCTCCACGAGGCACCATCTAGCCAAAGAGAATAACACAATAAATTAATATAAAGAGTTATACAATATGTTTACCCGAAATTAGGAATATAATTTCTAACCTGTATCATTATGGATCACCGGCTCCGTCCCATTCTCGAAGTTGGTTTGGGCATTCACATTCGGGGCACCACCTATCTCATTTAAAAAAATAGATTAGTTGTACACTATATTGAGGACAATTGAACACAGCTAATAGAAAAAGTTAATCTACCTGTATTTCCATCATTGTCCGGAGTTGCAGTCGGAAGTCTTGAACTTCTCCTCCCTCGTCTCCTCTCCAAATGCTCGAAGTGAGATAGGTTTCGAGGGGTGGACGTCCTTGGGCGACCGGGGCGGGGCTGTCCCCCATGCGGTTCATCAATGCCATCATTTTCAGGATGAAGATGGCTCCGGAGTAGGCCGATTGCACCTCGAATGGTCTCGTCGCCTCTATCAAGAACCTCCTGTACTAGACATTGGAACACACCACGGTGGTAATCACTATGGTCATCCCACTCCGGCCGAGTAGGAGGTTCACGATAGTTGATAACGGTGAATGACAACACATCATACAAGGCGAAATCCCGATTTTCACGTAGTGCTAACTGAATGGAACATCTACATGGGAGACCATAGGTAGGAGGAAACATACATGTACAAGGTTCCCCTTCCACTGCTACCTCGAACAACATTAACCTCAGAGCTTCTAGAGTGACTTTCGTATTCAACTCTCGAAATGATTTTCCATCCGCTCGGAGCAGCTTCTTTTGTAGGGAATCCTCTAGAAGCTTCCTGATTTGAAGGTGTTGAGCCTCAATGTAATCATCATTCTTCTTGAATACCTACCCAAATGAAGAACAATTAGGAGACTACTAAAACTTATGTGTGTATCAATGAAGATTTATTAGGAGACTAACCGTGTCGACCGCGCCAGTAGATGATTGAAGCCACTTCTTGAAGGAGGAATGGGCAGCTTCAACCCTATTAGAGCTTGTGTTACCCAAATGCCGCACTTGATTGGTATAACATTTAGCCCACATGTGTCTAACTGGTAACTACTCAGCTGCCATATACCCCCAAAGACGTCGGTACTGTACTCCCCAACTACGTCTAAAATTGTCTAAGGCAGTATCCATGTCTTCCACTGTCAATGCATATACAGCACGTTGCCAAGACGCCATGATATGATCCACTGTCGGTTTGGCTGCATCTATACAACAATGAGTCGTCCTTCGCACCTCCGCTAGACACTTTGCTCTCACATTCCTATCTATATGCCAAAGACATAATATATGAGTCGATGATGGAAACATTACCCCCACGGTCTCAACCAATCCTCCTGCTTTGTCACTGACAAACACATCTGGAACAATGAGGCCAAGAAGATGTTGCAAATGCGCCAGAAGCCACTGGTACGACTCCTTCGTCTCGTCGTACACTATTGCAGATGCAATGACAAAGTTCAATCCCACTGGTGTCATGCCGACAATCTCAACCCAAGGCATATCATACTTATTGGTCTTGTATGTTGCATCTATCACGATCACATGGTGCAAAGCTCGCAACATCACTATTGACTCGGGGTGGGCTAGGAACAAGTGTGTAAGCACGTTAAGATTGTCCATATACTGCACATACTAACCCTTCTTCTGCGCCATGCGGAAAATATACTGTAAGGCTGTCATCTGACCAAGCTCTTCTTTCCTTATCTTGTGACACTCGTTATAAATATGCTTTCTGTTGTGTGTTCCATTTGCACCTTTTCTGTCATTCACTGCCTTGTGGATATTCCTTGGTGGGACACCGGCTGATCTCAGCTCTCTGATGTATTGCTTATCCTCTGTAGCCAAAACATTCATTCCCTTTGATCCCTCCGGAAATAGCTCCAACTGATGATTGTGGAAACCCAAATTAGCACCAAGATTCTTTGTATTTGCCACCCCTAGGATCAACCAATATCCATCACCGGACCGCTCAAGGTTGATCTGAAACTCGCACCCCAACTTTTCAGTAGATGTAAGAGGTCTCCTTTCCTTACTCGGATCAGGTTCCTTCGACTTCTTCTTCCTACCATGAGTGCAATGTAAGTAATGTCGCCAAGTACCTTCATTCTTAATTTTTTTGTTCGATGCCCTCACCAAATAAAACCCAAAACCCTTGGCAATCTCAGTAGTTGCTTCATATGCTTGCAACTCCGTAGTGTATTTCACGCCATCAATGAAATCCGAGGTGTAATCACGACCATCCGGATTGTAACTTCCAATATCCTGCAATGTTATCAGAATTTATAAGTGATACCCCGCAAATTTAAAAAAAAAAAACTTAACATTCTATATCGTCAATTTAACGAGTACCATATGATAAATTTAAAATTTCATAACTATATTAAATTTAATAATCATCATAACTTCATATGAGAATCTATTATTTATGCAATAAATTTAATCTTAATTTGTAATGCAAAATCTAATCTTAATTTTCTAGATTAAGACCAAATTAAATCTAATCTTAATTTAATGCCAAATCTAATCTTAATTTCTAATGCTAAATCCTTCAATTCCAAAAATAATTATGCAAATAAATCTAGAAAATTATATAAATCAAAACCCAACAAATTATTTCATGGAACAAATCATAAATCAAATAAAAAATAGAAAATACTGATTTGAAAAAAAACCCCCATAAAATGCTGAATCGCAAGTGACCTGCGGTTGAACCATGGCTGAACCGTAAGTGACCTGCGGTTGGACCATGGCTGGACCGCAAGTGGACCTGCGGTCCAGCCATGGTCCAACCGCAGGTCACATGCGGTCCAGCCATGGTCCAACCGCAGGTCAAGTTAATGTTTTTACCTCGTCGGAGTCGCTACTCATGATTCAGACGTCCTACCGACGATATCGGCTTCAAAATGACGATGATGGATTTTTCTCTCCTTAGATAGTGTTTTTTTTAGTCCAAGTGATGTTTGTTTGAGGAAGGGAAGGTAAAGAAGCTAAGGGGGTTAAAAGTGTAACTTTGATACTTTTTAGGGCGACCTTTAGCAATTTTAAGGGCGATCTTTAGCAACTCCCTACAAATTCATTGTCCATTTCGTATTGTAGAAGACGCGCCACACAACAGATGTTCGTGATGACATTGAAGATAAGAATTTCATTGAGCAACAGAGAGCATACTTTGTTGAAATTGATGCTTTTGAACTGCTAGAGGAAGAGGTGACTTCAACCGATGAGTTGGAATGAGCGGATGCAAGTAGATATGAGTAACTTCGTCCATCTAATTTCTTGTCAAGATACTGTAATGATGTCGAGAGGTGTATATAGTTCCAGTTTTGTTACCACCTGATCTGTAGATGGCCTAAATCCCTACCTACACGTTATAGTCCAATGCACAGAGATGAATGTAATGGCTTGAGTAGTTGAGTAGACTAGAGATTTGACTCTTATAATTTTCGTTAGTGGTAGCGGAGAAACAATTAGTTATCCAAAATGAGGCGCAGTACCTTTGTGGACCAGCAACTTTTCAGACTCTGCGCTGGGAAAATACAGTTCCATGTTCTCTTGAGAACTGACATACCTACTTTAACTTGCCTTAGCATAATTTTCGAACTTCATTCATCCTCTCGATCGTTGTCTTACAAATAGATTATTAAGTCATTGTTTTTTCTATTCCCATCAACGTTCATTCGGATAGTTTCCGAACCAGCAAGCGGGGCTTATTTACGGATTTTTTTTCAGGAATACCATTAAAAAAGAAAAAAAATTCAAAAAAATTCAAAAAAATTACTAATTTTCAAAATTTTCCAAAAATACCACCATTTCTCGATAACCGCCTGGGTTGGAAGCAGTTTCATTGACCGCATGGGGTTAGGGCGGTTTGGTCCAAAATCGCTGCCCAACCCTGCGATTTGGTCAAAAAAAAATTTCAATCAACCCTAACCTAGGTGGAAACTTTAACTTGCCTTCAGCATAATTTTGGAACTTCATTCATCCTCTCGATCGTTGTCTTACAAATAGATTATTAAGTCATTATTTTTTCTATTTCCATCAACGTTCATTCGGATAGTTTCTGAACCAGCAAGCTGCTTATTCACGGTTTATTTATAGCTAGAGCAGTTAAAGCAGCTTTAACATAACATTGATCCATGTCCTCACCTGACTTCTCTGCAATTTGTTCTGACCTCTCCTTGGCTTCTGTAAGAAACCTGCTTAGTTGGGGCAATTGATAGAGATAGAGACAGAAAAGAGAT